GGCTCAGGGCGGCTAACACCAATAAAATCACAGTAAAAACATAATAGGGGAAAAAGAGAGGGGGGGAAACAGCCCAATTTAAAATACAGGTTAAAATGCAATTTAAAATGCAGCCTCATTTTAAAGTAGCTGATAAATCAAGAACATAAGGGGAGGGAAACATAAGGGTCAGACCGAGTCCAAACCAAAGGCCAGGTGGAGTAGCTCTGTCTTGCAGGCCCTGCGAAAATATGTCAAGTCCCGCAGGGCCCTAGTCCTAGTTGAAACCAATCTAACCTCCTTGAGGCTTGGGACCTCCAAAGTGTTGTTATTTGTGGACCTTAAGGTCCTCCGCGGGGCATAGCAGGAGAGGCGGTCCCGTAGGTATGTGGGTCCTAGGCCACATAGGGCTTTAAAGGTCAAAACCAGCACCTTAAACCTGACCCTTAAACCTGTGACCAAGTGAAGATGCGTGGGCATCAGAATGGCACCTGACATCTCCACCAACTCGAGGCACACGCCTGGGGATCCTTGGATCTCCCCTGTTTTCAACACATCCTGTAGAATTCTATCTGTTACATTTTATGTGCATAATCTGAATGATTTTAAGGAAGCAAAAAGTCGTATTGAAAAATACAACTTCCAAGCCACCTGGCCCCAAACTGACAACCAACCAGGTGTTCCTTTTTGGCGACTGTAACCCTGGTTTAAGCAGCCATTGGGTGCCTAGCTGATCTATCTGAGTTTCTAACACTTGGTCCAGCCCCTGACTTCAGCCAATACTGCTTAGTTTTAGAAGGTCACGACGCCATGTCTCTTCAGACAGACGATGCCCCTGAATCTGTTTTTTGGTTTCTTTTTAAATGCCTCTGTCTTGGATTTTCTGGTCTTGCGTAATCTGGAGCCATTTGCTCTCCAGGTAGCTTTTTCCAAACAGGGCACACTGTGTTCAGGAACTGCACAGACTGGACTAGTGAGTGCCATTGAATCTGACCTTTGACTTAGCATTTCCCATAAGCCGGCTTAATGTGCTGTTTCCTTGCTTAGCATTCAGCATTTGTGTTGTTGTTGTTGTTTAGTCGTGTCTGACTCTTCGTGACCCCATGGACCAGAGCACGCCAGACACTCCTGTCTTAAACTGCCTCCCACAGTTTGGTCAAACTCATGCTGGTAGCTTCAAGAACACTATCCAACCGTCTTGTCCTCTGTCATCCCCTTCTCCTTGTGCCCTCCATCTTTCCCAACATCAGGGTCTTTTCCAGGGAGTCTTCTCTTCTCATGATGTGGCCAAAGTCTTGGAGCCTCAGCTTCAGGATCTGTCCTTCCAGTGAGCACTCAGGGCTGATTTCCTTCAGAATGGATAGGTTTGATCTTCTTGCAGTCCATGGGACTCTCAAGAATCTCCTCCAGCACCAGAATTCTAAAGCATCAATTCTTTGGCGATCAGCCTTCTTTATGGTCCAGCTCTCACTTCTGTACATCACCACTGGGAAAACCATAACTTTAACTATACGGACCTTTGTTGGCAAGGTGATGTCTCTGCTTTTTCAGATGCTGTCTAGGTTTGTCATTGCTTTTCTCCCAAGAAGCAGGCATCTTTCAATTTCGCGGCTGCTGTCACCATCTGCAGTGATCATGGAGCCCAAGAAAGTAAAATCTCTCACTGCCTCCATTTCTTCCCCTTCTATTTGCCAGGAGGTGATGCCCCTCCTTTTTCACGTGCTCTTGATATTCGGGACAGCATAGATAGCAGAGACCCTTAGGGCCCAAAGTGACAGGCCGAATGCTTCTTTGTACAAACAGGCAGTGGTGGTGCTTTATCGTCTATGGCGTTGCACTCGAACATCAGCGCATTCTGTCTCGATGTTTTTTCTGGCATGCTGGCACCTTAGGCTCTGTTTCCTTTATGGGCTTTGTGATTTATGGCGGCATCAGTTGTTTAATCACAGTTGTCCTTCCCATTCCTTCTCCTGTTACTCTGTTAGCTACTTACATGGAAAGGTAACTATCTGATCTAATTATGGCATCTCAAACCTAATTGCAGAGTCAGATATGATTCCGTAATCTACTACCTAACACCTCGGCTTTGGGTAGACAGAAATGACACATGCGTCTTCTTTTCACATGCCTCGAGAGTTCTGGGTGTGCTACTTCGAGTTGGAGAATGGAATTTCCAATTTCTAAGCAGCACCCATGTGACAGTTCTGTGGTTCAGGCCATTGAGATTTTTGAACCCTCCTTCAGCGTTTTGGATGCCTTAGGAAAGGGTGGCAGTAGATTGATGGATCAAAAAAAAACTTAGAATTTTGATTGAGATACAGTCATACCTCATGTTACACTCGCTTCATGTTACGTGCTTTCAGGTTATGTCCTGTGGCGACCCAGAAAGGGTTACCTCCGGGTTTCGCCACTCGCGCATGCGCAGAAGCGCAAAATGATGCCACGCGCATGCACAGAAGCGGCAAATCGCAACCCGCGCAGACACGCCACTGTGGGTTGTGCTCTTTTCATGTTGCGAACGGGCCTCCGGAACGGATCCCGTTCGCAACCAGAGGTACCACTGTAGTCTTTCTTGGCACTTAATTTTCCCTTTGAAGGCTTTATATGAGTCAGTCCTTGTGATAGTGATTGACAGAAAGGTGATATATATTGAGTAGGAGAATATGCAGGCAGGGCAACTAGAATGAAGAAAGGTGATGGAGCATCTCTCCTTTGAGGAAAGATGCAAGCATTTGAGAGTGGCGGGAGACTACTATGGAGAGAGATGCGAGATGTTCATAAAACATGATCAGTGAGGGTAGAGGACGAGTTGAAAGGGACTTGAAGATCAAGTAGCACAGCTTCATGTGCAACCCAGATCACAGAATATTTCAAGCAAAGATTAGGTCTGCTGCCTCCCTCAAGCTCTGATTGGCTCTCCAGTTTGCTCCAGAAATCTCTTAAAGTCAGTGCCCAGCATCTGAAACTCTGGAGAGCTCCTTAGACAGTAAAGTGGTACCTCGGGTTAAGAACTTAATTCGTTCCGGAGGTCCGTTCTTAACCTGAAACTGTTCTTAACCTGAAGCACCACTTTAGCTAATGGGACCTCCCGCTGCTGCCGCACCACCGCTGCACGATTTCTGTTCTCATCCTGAAGCAAAGTTCTTAACCCGAGGTACTATTTCTGGGTTAGCGGAGTCTGTAACCTGAAGTGTATGTAACCTGAAGCATATGTAACTCGAGGTACCACTGTACTAAACTAGATGGACCTAATCTCTCTCTCTCTCTCTCTCTCTCTCTCTCTCTCTCTCTGTCTGTCTCTCCCCTTGGATTTTCTCTGCTGTTCCCCCTTTGACCTCAACAGACCTTCTGTCTCAAAAATTTAACAGTTCCTTCATTTTGAGGAAGGAACATCACCAGCTACCCATCAAGCAAACACTCGTTTCCCTTTCCCCTCCTGATTTAGCTCTGCGGCTGCTCCCTTTTTATTACCTCATTGTGTCCTAAGGTCTTAATTCCTTCTGCCCACAGCTCTGGCACAGCCCAAGTTGAGGAAAGATGGGGATTAGAGGTGGTGAAGCAGCCTCTTTGAAGCTCCCTAGATAGACACTATTATTCAGGCAGGTGGATTAAGTTTTCATTGATAGCTCAGGTGTATGTGCCACAGCCAGGTGAGAGAGACAGGAGTTAGTGGACACACCTTATTAAAAAATCAGTGCAAGGCAATTTTTTTATTGTTTAGCCAAGAGTCACTGTAACATTGTTTACCATTGATGGTAATTAAACATGTATTATCCACATTTAAATTACCTTAAGGACCAATTGATTTCTTATGCTCCACCTTGATCGCTGAGATCTTCTGGTGAGATGCTTTTGTTGGTCCCCCACGCCACTCAGGTTCATTTAGCATTTACCTGGGATTGAGTCATAGAATAATAGAGTTGGAAGGGACCCAAAGGTCATCTAATTCAACCCCCAGCAATGCAGGGGTCAACTAACTCATGTTCACAATGCACTCACACCTAACTTGGTTTGGGCGGTCTGCTCCAAGTAGGATACTAAGATATATTTGTGGTTGCTGGATCCTTTCGGTAGCAACTCGTTCAGTATAGTAGAGGTGGCTTGACTTGAAATTTCGGTGCTGAGAATGCCTTGTGCAAGGAGTTGGGTTGTGGGAGGTAGTGAAAATTTGCAAATCACAAGCCTCTTAATATACAGCATGGGGAGAAGATGATGTTTGTGTCCATGAAAAACCCTGCGGAGTGTGTCTATCTTTGTTTCAGAACTTAGTCCGGGCTGCTAGTTCTTTAACGTTTGAAGACCCAGGTTGTATTATGACATTCAACTTTTGGTTTTGAACCCTCTGTCTCTGTGCAGTTGAAAGAGTTAAGTAGGGCTGTACACATTGGAAGTGTTATGATGCAAGCGCTGACCTCATCCCAGGCGAGGCCTTGTTCAGGACTCGGGCCAAATGCTAGACAAGGTGACATCACTATGCAAATGTTGTAGAGAATTGCCACCTTCCCCAAGACCACCACAGTTGTCTGAGGGGTGGAGGGCAGTGGAGTTCCCTTCCCCTTAAGTCAACTCCGTAGCCAGAAATTGTCTGTCTTAGCCCTTGTTATGTGCAACTAAGCTTACCATGGTAAGTGACTATTTAGTAAGTCTCCGTTCACCCAAAGAACACGTTTATATATTTGGCAGAAGCAAGTGAATCAAGTTTCTTGGACTGTGCCATTTTGAATTCTAGGTGTGTGTTTGGAATGTCTCCTTGCACATATGGAAGTTAGGTTGTAGGAAATGAATGAATGAATGAATGAATGAGCCCAAGTTGATATAAACCTCATTATCAATAGCAGCTGAAGTTCTGACAGCCTTTTTCCTTTCTGTTTTCTCCCCAGTTGCAGATCTGAATGCTTCTGAGCTCGTCACAGTGGTTGGACTATTGGGACTCTAAGAGACCTTAACTGAGAAGCTACCATTCCCTTCTTGGGGCTCCCCAACTCTTCTCACCTTCCCCTTCCCCCCTTTGTAAAAATCCCATGGACCGGGGGGTTGCCATGGAGCCAAGGGAGAATTCGGGCACTTCCCGGCAAAGGGGAGGAGAGTCGGATTTCCTGGGCTCGGCCATTGCTTCTGCTAAGGCCCCTGGTGGTGCCCCTGGTGGCGCTGGGACGGAGGCCATGCTGCCTCAGCCCGGCTCTGCCAAAGGGATCCCTGTGAGCAGTGACCGGATGGAGCCTGAGGAGGAAGACGAGCTCTGTTCTGGGAGAGACACAGACAGCGAGAAATGGGTGGCCGGAGATGGCTTGGAAGAGCAGGAGTTTTCCATCAAGGAGGCGAACTTTACAGAGGGGAGTCTTAAGCTGAAAATCCAGACGACCAAGAGAGCCAAGAAGCCCCCCAAGAACTTGGAGAACTATATATGCCCTCCCGAGATCAAAATCACCATCAAGCAGTCAGGGGAGCAAAAGCTTTCGAGAGCTGGGAAAAATAGCAAATTAGCTAAAGAGGAGGACCGGTCACACTCCAAGAAGAAGGTAAGAGAACCCATTTCTTCTTCTCTCTCCATGATCCTCATTTTTTAATTTATTTTTGCATCCGCCGGTGTCCTGAATGCAACATTTTGCCCTTCTCTGTCTTGCTAACTTTAGGGGGATCTCCTTTGTCACACGAAGTCAGCCTTGTTTGGTTCGGGAGCGAACGAGGCAATCTGTGCACCAAAAGGGTGGGGGTTTTTTGCAATCTAAATATGTGACAACAGGTGGACGGGATAAACAGATGGAGGTGGAGAAAGGGGGATGAGTGGGCGTAACAAGACAACAGGGAGAATGCTATTAGCATAAGCGGCTCCCTGGCCCCCTGCACACCAGCTGCCTTGCCATTGTCGGGGGTTCAGCTGAAGGGTGTTTTAAAGAGCCATTTGAAGGGCAATATAATGGCCCTGTTAGTGTTATGCACACAAAGGCCGTGCCTTTAAGACCGGAAGAGCTCGTGCGGTTTAAAGGCTCCGGCGTGCAACTGCAGTCTCTGTTGGTGTGCCTGTCTCTCTTAATGACTTCTTTGCATCAGAGCAAGTTCTAACAGGCTGTGTTGACAAGGAAGGGATAGATACAGGGAGAAGGTTTTCCAGAAGGAGAGGATCGTGTGGTTGTTCCATTAGCAAGGTCTGCATTAGGTGGACTGTGTGATGTTTGCTTTTTCTTCTTCTTTTTCTTTTAAAGAAAAAGTCCAGTCGCCCATGGATGGGGTGCTCTCTGCAAGGCAAAAACTTCCAAGTAGATTTTCCAGGGAAAGCCCACCCTACCCCAATATCATTTCAACTGTTAGGGATTTAAAGACAGAGGTGGAAGACTTTGAAATGAGGGACAGCAGAAGTGGTTCTTTCTTTCTTTCTTTCTTTCTTTCTTTCTTTCTTTCTTTCTTTCTTTCTGAAAATGTTCATTTTTGGCAAGCCACGAGTTGGCGGGATTTCTGTTTCGAGTACTTCCCGAGAGCACGCAGGAGCAAGGACTCATTCCATGGTGCGTTATGGATGTGGGGGGGATGTTTTATTCTGTAGAAGAGGAATCTTTGGGAAGAAAGGACATTTCTTAACAATCTTGCAGACCCTTGGAATGACAGCCGACTTTCAGAAGGTGTTTTGCAATTAACATGTCTGTCTGCGTGCTGAAATTTGAGGAGCGGGGGGATAATATGCATCCCTTCAGTGACTCTAATCTAGTTGTACAGAAGGGCCTGGGGTGAGATATTTGGAAGAGGATTGCCACTCAAGTGAGCAACACCACTTTAGATGCGACGTCAGGGTGAAGTTTCGGCAGTGCACCTTATTATGGAAGGCCGCTGGATTAGGTCTAGAGCACCGAAACAGAGTGTGGAAGGTCCACTTGTCAAACCAGCCTTGGTCTGGTTTGGTGTGCTTCCACAGGGGTGAGGTCTAGGATATTCAACGAAATCGTTCTAGGGTTAATGCCTCTCCTTTCCCAAATCTGTGGGGGCTCTTGAACCTTCAACTGCTGCAAAGGAGTTGAGAAATTCAACAGGTGAATTTCCTTATTGTGACACCTTCCATGTTGAGATGGAGCTTCATCCGTGGTGTTGTTGCTTCCAGCACAGCTGTCAGAGGCAGAGCAGCCATGCTTGTTATTGGTGGGGGATATGGAAACTTGTGAAGCATCCCTAATTGTGGGGGACATCTCCGATTTGATTCTCACCCCTCACAGGATGGGGCAATATTCAACTGGTCAATTTCTACTTATTGCATAACTGCTAAAGGTACAGGAGGGACGCGGGTGGCGCTGTGGTCTAAACCACTGAGCCTCTTGGGCTTGCTGATCAGAAGGTCGGCGGTTCTAATCCCCGTGACGGGGTGAGCTCCTGTTGCTCTGTCCCAGCTCCTGCCCACCTAGCAGTTCGAAAGCACGTTAGAGTGCAAGTAGATAAATAGGTACTGCTGCAGCGGGAAGGTAGATGGCCTTTCCATGCACTCTGGCACTCGTCACGGTCCTCCGTGTGCCAGTAGCGATTTAGTCATGCTGGCTACATGACCCGGAAAACTGTTTGTGGACAAACGCCGGCTCCCTTGGCCTGAAAGTGAGATGAGCGCCACAACCCCATAGTCGCCTTTGACTGGACTTAACCATCCAGGGGTCCATTACCTTTTTTTTTTTTTTTTTACCTTAAAGGTACAGGAATCGTGCCTGTGGGGAAACCAAATGTGAGTTAATCAAGATCTGGATAAAGTAGAAGGAGAGTTATTGAAGGTTATTGAAGATAGGCATTGCATGCCTACTCGGAAGTAAGTCCTGCTGGGTTGAGTGGAGCTTACGCTTAGGTAGGCACGTATAGGATTGCAGCTTGGGGATTTGCTTGAGCCAGGGAGTTCTTGTAAGGTTCCTAGCGAACCAGGAGGCCAGGCTGGGATCCAATCAGGATTTGAGGGTGCTCAGAGGATGTATTATAAAAGATGACACGTTTCCAGGGACTTGCCACTGGACCCAAAGCAGTCAGGCTCCAGCTTCTCAGGGGATATCCTCTTGGTTGCCAGCCACTTTCGCGCTGTTGTGTTTCAAGACGCAAAGCAAACACATTAAGAAACCGCTCTCCTCTGTTGCTCTAATTGCCTCAGGGGTGTTTTGCGATCATTGCAACCTGGGAAGAGAAGGCAACTGGAGAAGGCAATCTCCGCTTCTCCCAAGGTGTGGCTCCTCATTAGAAAAATATTTTGAGAATCACTGGTGTTGTGGTTCTGAGGTGAGTTTATTTTTAGGCAGTAATTCGGGGATGACTGTTCTTTCCTTTGACTGCCTTCTCTCTGGAGAGTGAAGCGACTCTGCATGTTATGATGATTGCTGCAGGGAACGTCAGCGTGCATGCATGTTTCTCATGCACATACATGCATCTGGAAATACAGGCCCAGACTGGTCCACGTGGCTGTTTAAAGATGGATACGGCATAATGTGTCTGCTTTGGGAAACATTGGTGAGGGCCCCATGTAGTGACTGTAACATGTGAGTCTGCCCAGATCGTTGTACCTGGGGCCATTTTGCACAATCTGCTCTCTGCTTTCACAGGTAGAATCTGTCACTTTTGATTTCTCTCCGTTTCCCATTGGTCCAACATTATGCTCAGTTCTCCACATTTCTACACCCGTTTGGGATATTTTTTCAAGTCCTCGTGAAAATTTCTCGCTGAGTTTGTGAGGATTTCTCCTGATGTATGCAATTATTATGTGCAATTTTGTCCGATACACACATTTTTGCAATACAGTTTTTCCCAATACAATGCATATTTCTATTATTATTATTATTGAAACATTTAGATGAAAACTTTCCCAAGCATATACATTTTCCATACACGCTACTTGGCTGGAGAGCTGCATTGCAAAATCTGGAGAGATGTGATGATCAAAGGCTGTCTGTATTTCGGTTTGTGTATTGTTTTGAAAACTGCAAATTACGTAAACTCACCTTGAAATGCTAACTGAATCACTTGTCATTGGCCATGGTACTTTTTCATCTTTGTATGCAAACTCTTACCATCAGAGCTGTAATTTATGGCTGTCCCATGGCTCCCACATGCGCAGAGGATGCTGCCTAGGAAAGCAGAAGATGCCCTGCTGTAGCTCAGAACCATATCTTTCCTGCATGAAAAGGGGGATGTTTGAAACTCACATTCTTCTAGGCACATTTTGCGACAGGGAATTTCCTTAGTGTGAGCAGTTTCTCAGCTCCAGGCACAGTGCTGTGCCTAAGATTTCAGATTAAAACTGCAGAGTGGAAAGAAAGGAATACCTTTTTCTGCCTCCCCATTTCCAGCTACTCTGAAGACTGGAAAAGAGACCCTCTTAAGAATATTAGGGGGGTGGGCAGGGGAAGGAGTAGACCATGTTAAAAATGAACATCAAAGTTTAGCTGCAGTTCATACATTTTCAGCACCGTATTCTTGTTATCAAAAAGCACACCTAGACACTCTGTTGTTGCACCCATAACCTAGGTTTAAGGTGTCATTTAGCACGTAGCTTTCATATCTCAGTTTCTAATGCTGCAGGGATATGACATTCAGGAGTAAATCAGTGGTAAATGGGCCAGTGTGAATGTTCTCCTGGGTTCCATTATCCAGATCTTCTCTCCCTTGCTTTTAGGATGTTCCAGACTCTGATTATTCATTTGATCCTTCTTTCTCAAGGATAAAATAGATATTTTAATAAATTCTGGTGTGTTATGTCAGGGTGCATCTGCAGTGCAGCACCCATGTTTTGGTGCTCATGCGTGAAACTGGAAATGCAAAAAGCAGGGTGTGGCTGGACTCTTTAAAAACCTGGGTCCTTTCTTAACATTGCATACCCACCCACCCTAAGTGACCACTATCCAGGATGATGCAAGCCCTGTGCAATGTAAAGTCCACCATTTCTCTCTATCGTCAATATTGCCACAGGAATATTGTCTCTTATTTAGAAGGACTTTGCTAAAGTCGTCCCCCATATCAAAGGGGCTTTAATCTCCCTTCCCTAAACCTGATACAATATGTTAATTTCAACCGTTTCAAGGTTGTCTGGACTTTAACCAACCAAGCATGAATGGAAGAGACCAGATTAGTCTTCCAATTTTGAGCTTCCCGGATTCTGGCTGTTATCTATAAATGGAAAATTAATGCAATCTTTGATTTAGTACCCAACTCTTCCAAGACAACCTATAAGTAGGAAAACAGGGCCTATAAGTACCTCTTTCCACCCTGTTTTTGATGGGTGTGTGTGCACCAGGGTCAGAGTGCCCTATGGTTTGGGTGTACATGAGCCTGCCTACCTGACCAGGGTTGTCCAAGGTGTGGTCTGTGGACAACCAGTGTTTTGAAAGCTTCCTTCAGGAGGCCCACAACTTGAAAGAATGTGAAAGACAGAGCAAGAGGAAGCAGTGTGTGTGAGAGAGAAGACAGTCAACACAGGAGAACAAAGGTGAGCAGGAAAGACCTGAATTGACCAGGGAAGGAGGCATTTGAAACACAAAGGAATCATACAGTGTCTAGCACAGTACATTACAATAGGGACGCGGGTGGCACTGTGGTCTAAACCACTGAGCCTCTTGGGCTTGACGATCAGAACGTTGGTGGTTCGAATCCCCGCAATGGGGGAGAGCCCATTGCTCTGTCCCAGCTCCTGCCAACCTAGCAGTTCGAAAACACATCAGTGCAAGTAGATAAATAGGTACCACTGTGGCGGGAAGGTAAACGGCATTTCCATGCACTTTGGTTTCCGTCACAGTGTTCTGTTGCAGTAGAAGCGGTTTAGCCATGCTGGCCACATGACCCGGAAAGCTGTCTGTGGGCAAATGCCGGCTCCCTCAGCCTAAAAGCTGCAACCCCATAGTCACCTTTGACTGGACTTAACAGCCCAGGGCTCCTTTACCTTTTTTTTTAAATATTACAATAGCCAGAACTGGCAGAAAAATGATTAAGTGGTCTTCCAAGACCCTCAGCCATTTCCAAATGGTCCATGGGGGGCAGGAAAGTTTGGGAACCACTGTGCTAGGCTATCCATGTGAATCCTGTTGTTGCTGTTGACATCTGACGAGTTTCTATTTTACTTGAGCAGTACCAGTATTTGAAATGCTCCAGGCACCGGGCACGTTTTGCTCCTGGCATGAGTCCAGTTGTTACTACTTGGAGATTTCTGGGTGCCAGGTTTGAAAACCTCTGCCTTAGTCCGTAGTCAATACCATTTCCATTTCCGCTGTGTGTGTTTTTCCTTGCCTACTGGAACAAGTGTATTGTTGTAAGAGCAAGCTACAGTCAATGTAGTTGGGATCATAGAATTGTAGCATCGGAAGGGATGTCTAGTCCAACCCCCTGGCGAATAGATATTCTGTTGTGGTGACCGTAATCTAGCTTTAAGGTGCCATTTGCTTAAAGGTTAGCGCCTAGCTTATATCTCTTGAGTTTCTAACACTGAGCAGCACTGATGCATAAGATGAGGAAGCACTAAGCTAGAGTACTGTAGTGTGATCTCTTTGGTACCTGCAGTCGGATGTGATGTGGGTGGTTAGTTAGCCTGCAGGCCAATGGGAAGCCTCTTGATGACTGTTGTGGTTTTGCAGAGCCTTCTTCCGGCTCTTATCACAGCCCCCTGGCCTGCTTTACTCGCCCTCCAGCTGTGTCTGACGTATTTAGCAGGTTCAGAAAGGAAATTGCCAGGGTGAGCAACTGCAGTGGGAGGGTGGCAGTGCTCAAGAACCGCTAGAAGGAAGCTGTCAGTGAGTGGTTGTAGTGAGAACTAATAGCTATTACAGTCACCCAAAGGCTTCTCACCCCAGGTTGTTGTGTTTAGGACTCCAGCATGAAGTAGGTGCTTGATTTGGTATACACCTGTGATTACTATGCTTAAAAGTAGCAGGAAAGTTAGTCAAGTTAGTCCTTTGGGCAGCAACTTTTCAGCTTATTGAGTTCTGTTTGCTGCTTTAACTTGTCACTTTCTCCCTACTCTCACTTTAAAAAGTGCAGCCCTCCAAATTATGAATTTCATTAGAACACCTTTCCTTTATGTAACACGCTGTTCTAGACAATGGAATTTCACTTTTATGTTTGTTCGTTCTGGGAAGAGTGACTGACATTATCAGCTTTGTGATAAGGGGTTGTATCCGGTTTGGAAGTAGTAAATTTCCTCCCGTGGTTTTCAAGGGAGAGCAGAGTGGGGAAGGGAGCAGAAACAAATATAATGAGACAATGTTGTGCTGGGATGGTTGGCATGGGTGTTACTTGAGGGACTGACCAATGAGGGACCATCGATGGATGACCCATGGACTGCCTCACTGTTCTGATATTTCTCAGTCTGTTGGAATAAGTAACTGGGGAAACATCTGTCTCGGTGCAAGGCGAGTGGGCAGTTTAAAACAACAACAAACCTACACAAAGAAAACCCTCTCTGGACAAGTACAGGGACTTGGCTTGATGTTCTGAACCATGCTTAGCTTCTTATGTGATGTGACTGGGCTGTGCAAGCAGGACCGAGGTTTCCAGAGGTGCAAGTCTGCTGCAGCAAAACCAGCAAAGGGTCTTGTGGCAAAGACGTGAACCATTTTATTTTCATTATGGAATAAGCTCTTGTGGACAAGATCCCACTTCATCAGATACATGGAGTGTGATCCTCTGTCATCCGTTTGCAATTATAATAATTTTCCCTGCCCATCTGGCTGGGTTTCCCCAGCCACTCTGGGTGGCTTTCAACAGAATTTGTTGAATGTTTTGGTTGCCGTTCACCCACAATAGGCAGGCAGGGTTTGCAGGGATCAAATCAGAGTCCACTCAAGATGGTGCCAGGAATTTTGGCACTGTGCTGCCCTCCCACCCCAGGCTGTATCCCACCTTCTCCTGTGCCCAGATGGCATGATGTGTGTTTTGCGTTGAGCTGTTCACGCTTCTAGTGTGCTGCCAGATTTTCTGCTGGAAGGGCGTTTGCGAAACCTTTCTCTTCTAGACCACTGGGTCCATCGAGCTCAGCATTCTCAACACTGACTGGCAGAAGCTCTCCAGGGTCCCAGGGAAAGGGGACATTCCCAGCCCTACCTGGAGAGATGCTGAGGATTGAACCGTGGACCCACTGCATGCAATGCAGATAGCTCTCCCCCCTAGTTATGGCCCTTCCTTGCTCTCTTAGGGACGCGGGTGGCACTGTGGGTAAAACCTCAGTGCCTAGGACCTGCCGATCGTTTGGTCGGCGGTTCGAATCCCCGCGGCAGGGTGAGCTCCCGTCATTCGGTCCCAGCTCCTGCCCACCTAGCAGTTCGAAAGCACTCTTAAGTGCAAGTAGATAAATAGGTACCGCTTTATAGCGGGAAGGTAAACGGCGTTTCCGTGTGCTGCGCTGGTGCCGGCTCGCCAGAGCAGCTTCGTCACGCTGGCCACGTGACCCGGAGGTGTCTCCGGACAGCGCTGGCCCCCGGCCTCTTAAGTGCTTAAGTGAGATGGGCGCACAACCCTAGAGTCGGACACGACTGGCCCGTATGGGCAGGGGTACCTTTACCTTGCTTTCTTACTTGGATTAAGACTGTGTTAGTTGAAATGCACCGCCTATCTCCCAGCCAGCTAGCATCTTCTCTCCCTCTTGCCTCGCTCCTTAAGGATTCACTCGCTGCTCAACCATTCCTTTTCAGAGGGCCCTGTGGGCATTGTGCTCTTTCCTTGCTTCCAGATCACTGGCTGCCTCTGCCTTTGCTTTTCCTTCCCAGAGGGCTCTTGGGGGCTTCCTTGGTGTCTCTGCCTCCCGCCGCATTAGCCGTATTCTTTCCCCTTGTGGGCGGCTTAAGCAGAGTGCCTGGATGTTCACGTTCCATGGTGGCTTCTCGCTGAAAAGGGCAGCCCATCGTGGGATCCCCTCTGAGCATATGATCTTCTCCTTTGGGATCTGCAGTTGGATTTGAAGGCAGAATAAGCTTCTTTTCTTCATTCCATGAGAAGGCTGTGGGTTTTTCATATATATATATATATATATATATATATATATATATATATGAAATATTCCATGATGAAGAGGCTGATGAGAGAGGGACAGAGGACCTTCCCTGCTTCTACTCATTCCTCACACCTTTCTTTATATTCCCATCGGATCAGTGACTAATATTTCTTTGGGATCCGTGAATAGCTTAGGTCAGGTTAGTTGAATTTATGAATTGCTTCCCACAACAAAAGTCCCCAAGCAATTTACGACAAGCATAAAATGCAGGAATGAAGAGACATAAACACAGTTAGAGTAAAACATCCAGTCATTGGTTCTTCTTAAATTCCTGGCTTAAAGATGACTTTAAGCCTAAAAAGGTTTGTGCTAGAAGATCTCCCTTGGAAGAGCACCCCATAGATAGGGAGCTGCTAAAGAAGAGGTCTATTCACCCATTGCTGGTCCTTCCTTGGAGGAGACACACAAAGAAGGGCCCTCAAATGATGACCTCAGGGTCTGGGCAGCTTCACATGGGGAAATGTGGCCCTCGAGTAGAGCTTCTTGAAGTTTTAACTTTCCACCTCCTTAAGTAAGTTGAACATGAAGTGGGCCCAGCCTCCTGGTGACTGGTTCCCAACTTGGACTCCATCTTCCATCAGCCCCAGGCAGTATAGCCAACATACTGGATCTGACTGGTGGGGAGCAGCCCACCTGTCAATCAGCGGTTGTTGCATGGTTGCCAAGCTGCACTGTGTGAAAGCTGGTGATCATGACGATGCAATGCAAGCCCAGTGTAAGTTGTAAGATGGGCTGGTGTGCCTTGGCTGAAACAGGCCAAATGAGGAAACCTAGATGGAAGATCTTAACTGGGCCATTACTGTAATTAAATCTCCTTAAACACTATTTGACATGAGATTTGAACCAAACCACCAGTGAGAAGTAGAATAGGCACTCGTGTAAGATTTTGGTTTTGGTGATGCAGAGATGGTTCTGCAGGGAAGCTGGCTGAAGCAGGCTGAATCCATCACAGCTGTGATTCATGCTCTTTTCAGGTGATAGTAGCGTATGAAAACCAGGAAGCGAAACTTTGTGTCTGGTTTCACTGTGCTTCGGCTATATACAGAAACGGAAATAATGAAAAACAAAGTATACTGTGTCATGGGAAAGGATGAGAAGTTACTGTAATGTTTATTGTTATGATTAGCGCTACTGAATAATATTTATATAGAAGGAGCCATGTGCTTGGAGCGACACAGTTTGCATGCCAGTATTGAATACACAAAATCATAGAATCATAGAATTGGTAGGGATCCTGAGGATCGCCAAGTCCAACCCCCTGCAATGCTGGAACATGCCGCTGTCCCATATGGGGATCAAACCTGTAACCTTGCTGTTATCAGCACCAAGCTCTAACCAACCGAGCTACCCAGGCTGACTGTGATGTAAACCAGGGGTGGCCAACTCTCAAGAGACTGCGATCTACTTTCAGAATTAAAAACTGGTGGGGTGATCTACCCATGTTTTGGGGGTGTTCAGTTCAAAGTTGTTGAGCTTTTTTGGGAAGGAAAGCCCTGTTTTGGGGGTTTAAAAAAAGCTTTTGGGGGGAGGGAACTTCTGTTTTGGGGGGAGTTAAAGGCAAGGGACAAAGGGGTAAAGTCACCCTCAAAAAGATCACTATGGATGAAAACAGCAGCACAGAGAGTCTTCCCTTCCAGAGATCAAACAACAATGGAGGGCGGGGTGAGGGGTTAGGGCAGGAGGCAGTTTTGGCGATGCTAAGGAAAGGGAGCCAGAGATCAACCATGATCTACCAAAACCTCATGGCGATCTACCATCCACCTGTTGGACATCCCTTATGTAGACGTAACAATCACTGCCCACAAGGCATTGGGTTTCCAATAGTCGTGTAAGGATGAGAGATTCGGAGAACACGGTTTGATAAAAAGTCATGTGAATGGGATCTGGGGAGCATCAGATTTTGTACAGTATCCATATATTGTACAGAATATATTCCACAGGTCAAATGACTGTTGCAGTGCAAAGCACACATACATGCTAGGAGAGCCACCATACAAGGACCTGGCAAATCCAGCTCCTCCCTGTTTCTCTGTGGGTCTGCTCTCCCATGTGCATTTACGGTCAACCCACCCTATGAAGCCAACCACAGCCTTGGCCCAGTAGGTGTAAGAGACTTCTCTGCACATTCCCACATGCTCAGACCAGCAGCTACAACCCTGCCTGTATATCTTCTTCCATCAAGTGTGGAATGTCCTTTTCCTGGAGACCCACCACAGACCAAGGCTGAGTCAAAGCAGAACCGAAGAATTAAACAGAACTTACACTCAGCTGAAAAGGGCACCTGCATCTCTACCCCATCCATCCCCACCACCAGCCACCATTTGGGAGGGCCACTTTAAGCATTGCCTCTGCTGCATGGAGCACCGTTGTGCAGAATAATTTCCCCAGTAACTGATTATTATTTCAATATCTATTTATTAAATTTGGGTACTGCCCTTCACCCTTGAGTTGGTGTTTGACGGCCAGTAGGCTGAGGATCATGCTTTAATATTTTGCATTTTTTATAGTGTTCCTTGTTTCTTTCTCCAGTACAGTGGGTGCTCGGGTTGCGAACGTGATCCGTGCGAGAGGCACATTTGCAACCCGCAGCACCGCGTCCGCGCACGCACGGGTTGCGATTCGGCACTTCTGCGCATGCGCAAAACGCGATTTAGTGCTTCTGCGCATGTGCGGCCGCAGAAACCTGGAAGTAACCCATTCCAGTATTTCTGGGTTTCGGCGGGTCTGTAACCTGAAAAAATGCAACCTGAAGCATCTGTAACCCGAGGTATGACTGTAAATGGATGGATATTTCTGACACATATTTTTGTTACTGAACCATGGAAAGGAAGGTCCTCATAGCCTTCAAATTTACTCACTTGGCTTCCTTGACTGTGTAGGCTGGATTTTATTTTAATTCTCCTCTCCACAGCTCTCTAGCCCCTTGGTGCGCTCTCTCTCTCTCTCTCTCTCTCTCTCTCTCTGTCTCTCTGTATGTGTGTGTTTATATATATCTCCATGCAGTCTCCTCAGTTGTGTTTCCTGGTTTATTTAGCACTCAGTGTCCCTGTGCCTTTAAACAAAGCCTCCAGTCTCTTTGAAACATGATAAAACAAAATGTCCCTTGCGCTGCTTTGTGTATTTATTAGAAATGAGCTGCTGTGGTCAGGAAGTAATTGGAACTGGTTAAGGGCAGCTGAGGGCAGAGATCACCACACTTGCCATTCCAAGAGAGCATTTTAGTGTGGCTGATTTTTCTGTCATTTTATGGGAGGAGGAGGGAAGTGAGGTTAATGGGCGGGGGTGGAGGGAGAGGGGCCATAACTTCCCCTCCTCCCTCAAGCATAATGTTGTAAAGCAGGCATCTATAACTTGTGACCCACCAAGCCAAACAAAGACCACCAGCCATGTATCGTGCCTTCTGAAGCTCTTGCCCACTCTATTTTTGGACCGGCGACAAACTGGCAGACCACCATACAGTTTCTCATTGTTCCAAATTTAGTTTCAGTTCACCCTATGTATGCCATAGTTTGCAAACTTGATTATTATTATTATTATTATTAAAAGTCTGTATGATGTAGATCCTAATGTAGATTTTTTTTTTTTTTTTGCATTTTTAGTATGGCACATATTTTGGTGTTATTTTTTTGCTAAATTTGGGCATTTTTTCTGCAGATATTTTCCAAATACAGCCATACCTCGGAAGTCGAACGCCTTGCGAGACGAACGTTTTGGCTCCTGAACGTCGCTAACTGGAAGTGATTGTTCTGGTTTGCGAATGTTCTTTGTAACCTAAACGTCTATTGCACCATCTGGAGCTTCTGATTGGCTGCAGGAGCTTCCTGCAGCCAATCAGAAGCCGCACCTTGGTTCCCAAATGTTTTGGAAGTCGAACGGACTTCCGGAACAGATTCCGTTCGACTTCCGAGGTATGACCGTATATGCTTTATTTGGTCCATGTTTTTTCATTGTAGAACTGCAATATGAAATTTGGATAAGTGCAAATTTCGAAGCATTCTTCAAAGCAAAAGGTGGTACGTGAATCAAGCAACAGTGTGACATAAGTTCCCCACTACATGATGCTTGAGTGATCTTAGAGAGAAAAACTGAGGGCCATGAGCCAATCTTAGCAAAGTATCCTAAATCTGTGACATATCTGGACATGAGTGACCAGTGCAACACGCCCCATCTGCACTGTGCATCTAAAGCAGTATCATTTTTCTTTAAACAGTCATCGCTTCTTCCAAAGAATCCTGGGAGTTTTAGTTTGCTAGGGCTGCTGAGAATTAATAGTTAAAGGTAAGGGTAAAGGGACCCCTGACCATTAGGTCCAGTCGTGACCGACTCTGGGGTTGCGGCACTCATCTCGCTTTATTGGCCGAGGGAGCCGGCGTACAGCTTCCGGGTCATGTGGCCAGCGTGACTAAGCCGCTTCTGGCGAACCAGAGCAGCGCATGGAAACGCCGTTTACTTTCCCGCTGGAGTGGTACCTATTTATCTACTTGCACTTTGACGTTCTTTCAAACTGCTAGGTTGGCAGGAGCAGGGACCGAGCAATGGGAGCTCACCCCGTCGTGGGGATTCGAACCACCGACCTTCTGATTGGCAAGTCCTAGGCTCTGTAGTTTAACCCACAGCGCCACCCACGTCCCAATTAATAGGTAGGAGGCCTCTTTTCCCCTTAGAGAACTACAATTCTCAGAGTGGTTTAACAGTCAATCCCTTTTCCCAGGGAACTCTTGAGAAGGGAATAGGGGGTCTTGAAACAACTAGCAGCAACTGCAACAAACTGCTATTGCCAGGAACCTTTGGGCGTAGCCATAACTGTTTAAAGTGGTATGATATTGCTTTAATTGTATAGTGCATATGGGGCCACAGGTGAGTTTCAGCATACTTCTGTGTGCAACTGAGAACTGAAGCACACTATCCTTAAGAGATGTAAACAGTTGATTTGTTTGCCAGTAGGGCAGTGCCAGTTGGACAAGTTCTTGCCTGGACCGACTGGTTGGCCAACTGCTAGCCCTCACTGTCCATACAGAATTCTTGCCCCTTCCCAGACACCAAGGGTGGAAGCGTTCCCTACCAATAAGATTAGCGAGCACACACCAGACCTTGCTTTCTACGACATGCTTGCAGGAGACCTGTGGTCATTGCACAGTCATCTCTAGAGCAGAACTTAGGGAGTCAAGGAGATTAGGATCCTGCTCAGAGCTGAGAACTGAGCTCATCACTATCAGTGTGGTTTCGCTTTGTGGTGTGTGCGTGTGTGCTTGCACAAGTGCTCTGAAATTAATTTTCTGTGCCAATCTGGGCTTCTGATTTTTTCCATATTAATCCCTTCCTTGATGTGCAGACATCAAGTTCTCAGAAAGCAAAATTCTGCTCCACTTCAGGCTATAGGTGAGTCATGTTTTCATTCTTCTGCAAACTTCTCTGGATATAGTAAACTAGCACACATCAGAAAAAAGGTTGTACCTTTAAAAAAAAAAAATCTTACAAGTGCTAACGTATGCATTGAGTTACTGACCTCCAGTTTCCCACCATATGAAGCACAATGACTAGGGTACAATTCTCTTACACGTACCTTCTCATTGCACAACCTCCTGGGTTAAGAAGACGTTAGCTGGAGAGAGCAACTCTGCACGTCTGTGGGTTTTGACAGCGAGACATTCACTGTATTAGTGGGATGGCTTTTATTATTTAACGGAGAAGTTTTACAATCTGAATCCCTGAACATTTTCTTCTCTCCATGCTTGTTGTCTTGTTATTAATATGTAAAGAAGGGAAAGGGAAAGAGAGAAAGAGGCAGCACAGGGTTTCTCAGCTGAAACCTTCTGTACTAAAAACCAGCCTGGAACGCTTTTGTGGTTGCTTTTTATGGCTGGGTGTTGTAAACTCCTTTGAAAGCACAAGTTTACAGTGGCTGTGCAGACAGACCTGCATGTGTAAGAGCAGGGGGTTCCGTGGGAAGTCTCCTTTGCGCTTTATGGGTACAGGCAGCCAGAGTCTATTGTTTGAGATGCAGCAGGTGTGTAATTTCCTGACATAACAACCTGTGAATAACAGGGTCCAGCAACAAACGAGAACCATGTCAAGGCTGCAGGAGAGGCTTGGGATGGGAAATGTAATAATAGGTTAAAGGAGAAGCCAGAGACTTCTGTAGTGGTATGGCAATCATTCCTGTTGAAAGATGCACTCGACATTGTGTGTACATACTTGAAACACTTAATATTTAGTCATCTCAATGAGTTCAGCAGCAAAAACTCGGATCGCGTGGAACCCACAGAGCCACGTAAGGGGAGTTACCCATTGGTTTCAGGGCTCCAGCAAACAATAAAATTATAGCGTTGCAAGAGGAGACCTGTTATTATTTTTGGAAACCATTTCATACATTTGCAAGTTGCTCTTTCTCTTAATGAAAACACACAGCGACTTGCAAAAACCAGTCGTCCAGTTGCAACAATGGAAACAACCAATGCGAAACAATCTGTTTTCAAAACCACAGAGTTTCGTTTTTTAAAATAACAGCAGAGAAACAGGCAGGAGCATCAATAGCAAGGGAAAGCTTATGGTAACAGACACGTCAACTTCCTGGTTTTGCTGACAGAGCCTGAACAGAGATATCGAGTCAGACCATTGGTCCATTGAGCTCAGTCTTGTCTACACTGACTGACGGAACCACTGACTCTCCAGTGGTTCAAACAGGGATCCCTCCCTGCATCACTGGGAGATGACGGGGATTGAACATGAGTCCTGCGTGCAAGGCAGATCCCTAATCAAATGCAGAAGGAGGGGGGAAACCACCTTGTCCATCCACCTATCTCAGGACTAAAAGCATTAGAAGCCCCCACTCATAATGTTAGAGTTTGATGTCGTCCAGTGAAGCTAATTGTTGGAAGATTTGGGACAGGCTTCTTCACACATCACATAGTTAAACTATGGCATTCATCCCCAGAAGAGACAGTGATGGCTACCAATTTGGATGGCTTTATAACAGGACTGGAAAAGATCAAGGATATAGCTATGTCGTAGGTTCACTGTCAGAGGTAGCTTCCCATTCTCATTTGGTTGGCCACTATGAGAACAGGATGTTGGAATAGATGGGCCATTGACCGGATTCTGCAAGGCTTTTCCTTGTGCCCTTCCTGATTGAACAGGTCATATGTGTTATGGAACACTTCTGAGGAGTCGCCGTGATCCAGTGATGACAACCACACATGGATACGTTGGAGCAAAGAGCCAGTGTGGAGTAGTGGTTAAGAACGGTAGTCTCGTAATCTGGGGAACCGGGTTCGCGTCTCCGCTCCTCCACATGCAGCTGCTGGGTGACCTTGGGCCAGTCACACTTCTTTGAAGTCTCTCAGCCCCACTCACCTCACAGAGTGTTTGTTGTGGGGGAGGAAGGGAAAGGAGAATGTTAGCCGCTTTGAGACTCCTTAAAGGGAGTGAAAGGTGGGATATCAAATCCAAACTCTTCTTCTTCTTCTTCAAAGATACCATGCAGTGTTCTGTAATCAATAGTCAACATCCAGTGGTAGACAAATGCACATGGAACTGTACATAGTTGGATTCCTAAGCACCTGTTGAGCATCCTGTTGAGCACATGCTCTCCTGGATCGTGCTGTGGAAATATGAACATGGCTTTGGTAGCAAGCCACACAGGACACACTAGTTTTCTGCTTCCTAACCGGACAGCTTGCACACACTTCTTGGAAGGCTTTTAGCTCGTTTCTTTGTTTAGTTTAGTTTTTAAAATAAACCTAACAAGACGCACAAGCCATACATTCAGTCTACCTGTGTTGAGATGTTGAGTAGACTAGTGAATCTACAAGCCTGTTAAAAATAAGGGCGCTTACTTACTTTTTTTTTTTTTTAAAAAAAAAATACCCTCTAGCTAACTAATAGGAAGCTATATCTTTTCAGGCTAATAATCTCCTTGATTCTGTTCTCATGACTGATGAGTTGCGCTAATGATTTCCTCAGAACTTGTTCCAACCCCCTGTAATTGTTTAGTCTCCATTCTACCACACTGCTATAGCATATTCTGGGGTAGCCTTGGCTTGATATCTGTCTATCATCTATCTATCTATCTATCTATCTATCTATCTATCTATCTATCTATCTCTCTCTCTCTCTCTCTCTCTATCATCTATCTATCTATCTATCTATCTATCTATCTTTCTATCTATCATCTATCATCTATATCTATCTATCTATCATCTATCTATCATCTATCTATCTATCTATCTATCTATCTATCTATCTATCTATCTAATCTGTCCAATCTATCTCTCCCATTCTGTTTTCATAAGGCCTGGAGTGCGACTATGTAAAGCAGCAGCTGCTCATTGTATGTACCAGGGAGCCTATTCATTCATGTTCTTTAATAGCCCTTTGTGCAAATGCTGGGTTAAAGGCCGCCCCAACATGCCTGCCTTGGTCACATCCCACTGATTTGATTCGTGGCAGCTCTTCTCCCCCTCTCTCTCCTCCCTCCTCCTGCCTCCCTCCCCAAAAAACACTCCTGCTTGTGTATGGAAAGAACCATCTGCTGATCTGGCTTTCAGAATAAGCTTCAACCCCCCCCCTTCCTTTCTTTTTACGGCATTTTCTCTTTTGTTCTAAAAGAAAACTCAAATCAGGCCAGTATTTGCAGGGTGGTTTTTCTTCTTTTTAAAAAAAAAGGAAGAAAAGGACTCGTATTGTGTTTCTTGCTCCCCATGGAAAAGTTGTCCTCTTTCTTCTTCTCCTTCTCCTCCTTGTCTTGGATTTGATTCCCTGCCATTCGCCAAACGTGTCGCAGGCTGCAGCTGCTGCTGTCAGCTGGGGAAGGGAGTCCCCCTTGTATGTGTGTGTTTAAATATATATATATATCGCCATGTGTTAATCTCCCTGGGTGGAAAAGCAGAAACGCTTTTTTCCAGCATTCCCACCCTCTGGCCATTGATTCTCAGGCACTGCTGCTGGATGGACATTGTTCTAAAAGTCCCCCCCCCCCCCCCGCCAAACAAGCTAAGTCTTATCTTAAGGGTTTGGCCTGCAGAGGCTGACATCACCCAAGCTAGGCTATGCCGAATCTTTGCGAAGTCCACTGAGGATGGCGGGGATTTAAAGTGGCGCTGTGGGTTAAACCACAGAGCCTAGGACTTGCCGTTCAGAAGGTTGGCGGTTCGAATCCCCGCGACGGGGTGAGCTCCAGTTGCTCGGTCCCTGCTCCTGCCAACCTAGCAGTTTGAAAGCACGTCAAAGTGCAAGTAGATAAATAGGTACCACTCCGGTGGGAAGGTAAACGGCATTTCCGTGCACTGCTCTGGTTCTCCAGAAGCGGCTTAGTCATGCTGGCCACATGACCCGGAAGCTGTACGCCGGCTCCCTCGGCCAATAAAGTGAGATGAGCGCCGCAAACCCAGAGTTGGTCACGACTGGACCTAATGGTTAGGGATCCCTTTACCTTTATGGCCAGGAAGTTGAATCGGGACTGACCTTTTCTCAGATGCATTTTTCTCCCTCTTTGTGTGTGTGTGGGGGGGGGCAGTTTTCTCTCCGCAGGCAGGTGGGTTGCTTGACATGTAACTAGGTCTCAGGTGAGAATAATGGTTGGTAGGCTGGTGTTGTGGAGTTTCTGGAGTCTGCGTGAAATAAGGGCAAGCAGAGGTACTTCTGGTCCAGTTCCAAGCGGCCAAAGGCTGCAGACTTGCTCAGAGCATCATTTACTGCCTGCCACTCTGCTTTCTCTGTCCCACCCTCACTGCCGAAAGTATTGAGGACCAGGAAATGGGATTGATAGACAAGTTTGGTCATTATTTTATAAGAGAGACTGGTGTCCTGTAAACAGCCATTACCATGTTTGAATGCTGTCTTGGGCGTCACTGGCCATCCTTCAAAGACCAAGGGTGTGAGCTGCGCTTCTTGGGCGTGTGATTTCTCATGTCCTTGAGAACGCAGTAGAGCAGTAGGGTTGGTTGTTTCTGAAATGCCAACACTGAAACATTCATAATGCATGATGGTATTAGTCATAGTTTAGTGTATTGCATTTATATCTGTCTTTTCTATTAGACCTGCCTTAGCTAACCTGGCGCTCTTGAGATGTTTTGGATGGCGGCGACTCCTGCCAAGCCCAGCCACTGTTTGGGGAAGGTTGAATTAAACAAATGCACAATGTGGCTTAAGAGAAAAAGAAAATATAATACAGTGGTACCTCGGGTTAAGAACTTAATTCGTTCCGGAGGTCCATTCTTAACCTGAAACTGTTCTTAACCTGAAGCACCACTTTAGCTAATGGGGCCTCCCGCTGCCGTCGCGCGATTTCTGTTCTCATCCTGAAGCAAAGTTCTTAACCCGAGGTACTATTTCTGGGTTAGCGGAGTCTGTAACCTGAAGCATATGTAACCTGAAGCGTATGTAACCCGAGGTACCACTGTATAATGAATTGTACGTTGCACATAAAGAAATAGCAGGCTACTGATTAAAAGCAAGCTTTAAAAGAAAAAGGTTTTACTATCCATTGAAAGGCATCTTGAAGAAATGTCACACCAGTTGTGGTGCGTTAGGCCAAGTGTGGGGGATATTTGGGCTTCCAGATGTTGCTAAACTACAAGTCCTATCATCCCTGGCCATTGGCCATGCTTGCTGTGGCTAATGGGAGTTGTAGTTCAGCGACATACAGAGGACTACGGGCCACACCTACATTAGGCTCTTGGTTAGATGAGTTTTTAAGTTTTGCTTTGTCCTGTTCCCGTTAGTGAATTATCTTACATAAACTTCCTTAGTCTGGGATGCACTTTGAGCATGGTTCACCAGGGAAAAGCAGCTGCAAATAAATGACGTTGAGGGTAAGAAGCAGTTTCTGAGGTAATTTGGTCCCAGGCCAGCTAAATTGAACCCCAAAACAGATAAATACCCAGTAAAGACAAAATTAGGCCCTCGGTTGTCACACAGTAGCTTGGCAGCAGGATTTTGCACCAACTGAACTTTCAGACTGTGTTTCTTTATTACGTAATTATATTTGCATGCTGGCCTTCATCTGAAGACTACATAAAAATACAAAATAAGAACACAAAATACATAGCCAACCCCACCCCCCAAAAAAATCAATAATATGGGCAGTCTCATATTGTGCTATTATTATTAGAAGTGTGTATTGTGACTTAGTCTGTGTACAAAGAATAATTGGAAATGTAGTTAGAGGGTGCTTGTAATTGTATCTCTCTGTGGGGCAAACTACAGTCCGCAGGATGCTTGCGGGGAAATAATGCCTGCTGAAAACGTACATTGTGTCCACAGCCTCAGTTTCCCCATTCACAGTTCCTTTCAATCCTATGCTACTGGCGCAACTGGCGGTGGACATAACCTTAACTTTCCCTGTGGCTTATGTCAGACTGTTGCAGCAGGAAACACCACTTTGATGCGACATCTGAGGATGAAGTCAGCCGTTATCTCGCTTTGGACGTATCACAGATCTTTGACAGCTGTAGGAACTAACGTCCTTTGCCTGCTCGCTGCTCCTGGGGGACGTTAAGTGGGCTTATGCTGTGTCTTACAAGTGACTTTGTAATGCGCTTGTGGCTTCTGATTTGAAGATCCATCTGGTGTTGGGCCTCTGTGGAGGGATGACCTTCTGTGTGATCGAGCTTCTTTCCTTTAGATTATGGGTGACCTTTGCTCCCAATTTTAGGTCTTGCAAATTAACCTGCATGCCCGTTTCCATATCATTTGGGTTCCTCAGTCTTGGAAGTCGAGCCTCTTTCTTCATCGTCCAGCTCCCCGTCATGTTAAAAAAAGAGAATTAATTGTCGCTGTGTCTTCCACTCTGCTCTTCATTTCTTCAGGTTTGGGCGGCGCTGTGGGTTAAACCACAGAGCCAAGGACTTGCCGATCAGAAGGTTGGCGGTTCGAATCCTCACGACGGGGTGAGCTCCCGTTGCTCGGTCCCAGCTCCTGCCAACCCAGCAGTTTGAAAGCACATCAAAGTGCAAGTAGATAAATAGGTACCACTCCGGCGGGAAGGTAGACGGCGTTTCCGTGTGCTGCTCTGGTTCGCCAGAAGCAGCTTAGTCATGCTGGCCACATGACCCGGAAGCTGTACGCCGGCTCCCTCGGCCAATAAAGCGAGATGAGCGCCGCAACCCCAGAGTCGGCCACGACTGGACCTAATGGTTAGGGGTCCGTTTACATTTACCTAAGCAGGAGTGGGGAACCTTCTTCAGCCCAGGGCCCCCAATTCCTTTGGGGGCAGCTTTTTAGGGGCCGCATGGCAGTGTTTGATGGGTGGGTTCAGGGGCAAAAGTGGGTGGAGCGCCAGTTGCAAATTTTGCCTTGGTACACTAGGTTAGTTTCTGTATATGCTCACACGCCCCTCCACCCAGACAAGCAACAGGTATTGTCAAGAGTTCAGAAGACACATTGAAGCCAGGCCAATACACTCCAGCAGTGGAGCAGGGAGAGCCAGTTGGAGGTACAGTATAGCCTGGAAAGACACCTGAGGGCCACATTTGACCCACCCAGGGCCAAAGTTCGCCACCTCTGCTGTAAAGGGTAGACTATAAGCATACAGAAAAATAACCGGAGGGCCCCCCATCTGTAATGATAAGCAGTCTTTTCAAACTGAAGTCAGAGATTACAGATATGCAATCTTTTTATATCTTAGTGCAGGGGTAGGCAACCTAAGGCCTGGGGGCCAGATGCGGCCTAATCGCCTTCTCAATCCAGCCTGCGGATGGTCTGGGAATCAGCGTGTTTTTACATGAGTAGAATGTGTCCTTTTATTTAAAATGCATCTCTGGGTTATTTGTGGGGCATAGGAATTCATTCATATTTTTTTTCCAAAATATAGTCCGGCCCACTACATGGACTGAGGGATGGT